TCTTTTTCCCCTTCATATGTCTATAATATTTCTTTGTTTTATTCTACATTTTGAACTTATATATATATATATATATATATATTAGAAATTTTTCCGATTGCGTAAGAAGTATCTTTAGATTCAAAGTGTCTTCCAAATGTATTTCATGCATTTTGTTGCATATTTTTTGGAGATTAGATAGTTTCATTTTTCCTCATAAAATTGCTTTTTTTCGTGGAGGGAATCTGACTTATTTTGGAAGATATTAATCAGAAAGGGAATCCAATGAGTTATACCATTTTAATTTTTTTCCTTTCCTTATCCACTTCTTCTATTTAATTTCAAGAAGTTCTCGTCTTTCCGAATGAATTACGAATCTTATTCAAAAATCTATATTATTTTTTTTTTATCAATTTCAAGGGAGGTAGCGAAATTTAATTTAAATTTGATCTTTCTCTCAAGAGACTTATTGAAATCGTTTTTGAAAGGTATTTTTAAATGGAAATAATTTCGCGTAAAGATGTCTTGATTATGGTATACTTTGATTACATGCATAAATTCAATTTTAAGCGTGCACAGTATTTTCATACTTCCATTATATTTTGCATTTTTGCAAACATAGAATTTAATAGAAATTCTAAATTTAATCTTTGATAAAGCTATATCAAATTTAAAAGAAATCTACATTTTGAAAGTAAGAAAAAGTAATTAAATGCCTGATTTAGAACTGCATATATTTTTCTTTGAATTAATAAACCCCTTTAAATTAATAAACTCATTTTACTTAAGATAGAAACTATTTTTGTTCAATAATTTTGCTTCTTTAATAACTATTTTAATTCAGTAATAATATATTTTCAAATTTATTTTAATTAAATAATTTTAATTAAAGCTCCATCAATAGTTTAATGCTTTTCATATTTATTTTGATTAAGTTTTATTTTCATTAAAATTTATTTATCATTTTACAAATTTTAATAAATAATATTTACCTTAAGTCATTTTTGAAATGTTTATTAACAAAGAATTTATTTCCTAAAGTTATTATTGAACATAAATTTAATATAATGCTAAGAGCTCTATAAATAATTTCAATGAAACATAAATATAACATTACTAAATATGGTGTTATCATTAAAACGCCTTTACGGAGGTTATCAATTGAAATCAACAGCTGTGTAAAAAGTTTTCCAAAAGTTGGCTACGATGGTGCCATTCCATTACATATTCTAAACTAAAAATCTGACGTGAAATTAATTTTTTTTTACATGATTCTGATCCGATTCTGTTATTTGACTCATGCTCGAAATATTTAATAATATTTATAAAAATGTTCGAAATGAAAATAAATTAGATTTGAATGTATCACACTTAATACAAAGTGTACATACTTGTATTCTAAATGCGTCATTTATAGTTATTGAATAAAATGACAGCAACAACTTAGTATTTGAAATTTTGATAAGTTGTTAAAAGAAATGTTTAGATTTAAGCTTTTTAAAAATTAATATAAAGCCATACGTTGGTTTTTCTTGTAAAGGTCAAAACTTTAGCTAGTATACTTTTACATTTATATTATTTGGTTCTAGAATAAATAAAAAAAAATAATAATTTCATATTTCTTGATTAATTTATTAATTATAAATGATATTGTTTACAAAATTAGCAGTAAACAAAAAATAATAAACTTTTTTAAGGAAAATAAATCTTAATTAAAAAGGACAAGGAACTTAAAAATGAGAAAATTGTTAACTTTTTGATTTTTCATGATTGAAAAATTATTTTTTTTTTCAAAAAATGACTATATTTGAATAATTATAGAAAAATACTAATTGTATTTAATAATTTTTAGATTAAAATTATATTTTCGTTGTAATTTATTTAAAATAGGTCATAGATTGGACAAATCCTGAATCTTAGTATCAATATACCACACTTACGTTAGACCATGCATACATTGATATTTGTTATGAAGTTGCTGTTAACTAAGATATGCGTCGAATTAAAGTTTACTTCTTCTATAAAATTATTTTTCCAAAAGCTGACAACTTTATTTGAATAAATAAAAAAATAATAATCAGATATATTATTTGTTATATCAGATATATTAATTGTTATACGGAGAAAAAATTTTCTCACTGTAATGTCATTTATGTCATTTCAGGTAAAAAAAAATAACATAACTCTGGTTTATAAAACCAAAACAAATGGAATTTAAACTATTTATTTAGTATATTTTTTCATCCATATGTAAACGCAGCTTATTGCACTTTTTTTTTTATTATTACAGTACACATTTAGTACAAAATAAAAAACTGGAAAGTGAATTTCACTGAATAAATGGTTTTTATGCCAAGCTCTAAGGCAGTGATGGGGAAACTACGGCCCGCGGGCCAAGTCCGGCCCGCGGAAAGGTTTAATCTGGCCCGTTTAAGAGTGCCGTCGTGAGAACGTCTGAACGCCTTCTTACTTCGTAATGTGACGACCCGCGTAAAAACTACCTGCGGCGATATTCAGAACACAATAGTGTTCTGAACAAATCCATCCGACCTAAACAGATGGCTCATCTTCGCTCGAAACTTCCAGACACTCTCGCATTTTCGATTCATTGTTCTGTTTTCTCGAAAGAACCGAAAAATTCAATTCCCGAACAATCCTTGCAGGTAGGTATAAATACAAGCGAGGCCGCCCGAAGATCAGTTAGTTAGCGACTTAGTCAGTCATCTGCAACGACCCGCTGTGACTCGAGTAATTGTTTGTGTAATCCCCGAAACTCCCACTGCCTCAATAGTCCGTGGGCCGAAGACTCAAAAGCAGTTCTAAACTGATTTTCGTTCCTACACTCGAGTGGCAATTTTAATCTTCCAAAATAGAACTCAATCTTGCCTGGGAAATATAAATTCACGAAGTTCTCCAAAATATAATAGGCCATTAATTGACAGTTATCAAAATATTGAAGAACTATTTTAATTTCATGAATACAGAATTTTGCCCATGAATATCCAAAGAGGAGGGTACTGTGACGTCACATGAAAATGAATTGACCAATCACAACCAAAAAGCTTCGCGATTTGCGTCTGCTCTAGTTCTTGTTTCCTTTGCTTCAAACTGCTTTACAATTTTTGTATAAACGTTATAAAAGTTTAATAAAATTATAATTTCATTTTAAGAGGACCCGCGCAAACACCCGCGCAAGAGCATTAGTTAGCAGTAAGCTTTCGTCAATTGCGTTTCTGTGTGTTGTTCTCCGTAGTAGGTAACGTCTAAAATGGATGTTAAAAAAAGAAAAGTGGATTCAGAATGTCGAGTTTTTAAAGAAGAATGGACGTGGAAATATTTCTTTACTTTATTTAAAGAAAAACCTGTGTGCTTACTTTGCAATACAACTGTTGCAGTTTTAAAAGAATATAACATTCAACGCCATTTCAAGAGCAAACATGAAAACCACTCCTACTCATCGTTAAGTGAAGAGGTGAAAAAAATTAAATCGAAAGATTTAATAAAAAATTTATCAAGTCAACAACAATTATTTCAGAGAGCTAATCATTCTCAAAGATGCGCTACGAAAGCCAGTTATGTGTTGGCTTATAATATTGCTAAATCTAATAAAGCATTTTCAGATGGTGAATTTATAAAGCAGTGCATGATAGATGTGTGCGATATTATGTGCCCTGAAAAGAAAAATGATTTTCAGTCACTGTCTCTCTCAAGAAGAACAATCACCGAGAGAATTGAAAATATTGATAAAAATCTAATTTCACAACTGACTACAAAAACTCAAAAATTTATTTTTTATTCAATTACCATGGATGAAAGTACAGATATCAGCGATACTGCACAGTTACTCATATTTGTAAGAGGAATCAACGCCCACTTTGAAATTACAGAAGAACTTGCAGGGCTGCAGTCAATGAAAGGAACAACGACTGGTGCCGATATATTTTGTGAATTTGAAAATTGCATCGATAAACTTCGTTTACCTATTGATAAGTTATGTAATGTAACTACAGATGGTGCTCCTAATATGGTTGGAATCAATCAAGGATTTGTTGGGAAATTTAATTCTAAGTATCCGGAAAATGATGTTGTTTTTTTGCATTGCCTTATACATCAGGATGCTCTCTGTAAATCGGCTTTAGATATTGACCATATACTTAATATTGTTGTAAAACTAGTAAATATGATTCGTTCCAGAGGATTATTACATCGCCAGTTTCAACAGTTTTTGGAGTCCGTACATGCTGAGCATTCCGATATCCTGTATTATTCAAAAGTTCGTTGGTTAAGTGCTGGAAAAGTATTTGAAAGAATTTGGGATTTAAAAGACGATATTGTGAATTTTCTTCTTGATAAAGACATTTATAATCAATTTGACGTCTTAGAAAACGAAACGTGGCTTTCTGATTTCGCTTTTTTCACAGACCTCCTCGTACACATGAATATACTTAATCTCAAATTGCAAGGGAAAAATCAGTTTCTTCACGATATTTGGCAATACCTGAAAAGTTTCAAATTACAGTTATTATTATTTGCTAATCAGATCTCTAAATCTGATTTTTCTCATTTTCCAAGAATACAATCTTTAAAATTCACTATATCAAACAATAAGATTAAAAAATACGAAATTAATTTGAGAAAACTATCTTCAGAATTTGAAAGGAGATTTCAGGACTTTAGAAAAATGGAACCAGAGTTTAGTATTTTTGCGACCCCATTCAATGTTAATTACGAAGAAGTTGATGCAAAATTTCAACTTGAGTTAATAGAACTGAACTGTAATACTCTCCTGAAACAAACTTTTCATACAGTACCATTACTAGAATTTTATAAAAATTTAAGTCCAGATAATTTCCCAAATCTAATTACTCATGCAATGAAGATAATGACAATGTTCGGCTCATCTTATATATGCGAACAAATCTTTTCAACAATGAAGCTTAGGAAAACTTCTTTAAGAAACAGAATTACAGATGAGCACCTTTCATCAGTTTTAAGAATTTCTGCTTCGCAAATGGAACCGGACTATGATGAAATTTTGAAGAAACAGTCTCAATTTCATTTTTCTCCTGCACCATCAACCAGTAATGACACCAGAAAATAAAGTGATAATACTACACATCAAGAACTACACTAAATTCATTTTATATTTTGTGCTTATAATTTTCATACCTTTTGCTTTTTTACTATTAAAATAATAAGTGTATGTAATAATATATGTATATGTTTATAAAACACATAAATTTTTTAACGATTAAGCATTATTCTTTAGCCCGCTACGATTGTCTAGTTATTACAAATGGCCCGTCTTAAAAAAAGTTTCCCCACCACTGCTCTAAGGTATCATAATAAACTTACTAAATTTGACAAAATTCACCAAAATTTATCGCACATTATAAAACCATATTTTTTTGTTAATTTCTACAAAGTCATAACAGAAACACTTCGGTAAAAGTACTGAGCTTTTCAGTTTTTCCATAGAGACAGAAACATGGTAAATTTTACCGTATTCCGGTAGTGTTGATTATACATTTTTTCCAGTGTACTTTATTCTAAAGTAAGTTGTTTAAAATCTGTAATTAAGAGTTGTAATATATTTACAAGTTGTAATTTATTTAAAATCTGCACATAATACAGAAGTCACTCAAGAAATAAATTCAATTAGGCGAAATAAACGCTATATCGTGTATTTGCTGACAGTTGCCCTGAAAACAGCTGTTTCTTTATAAAATCTAAATTAAAAAAAATATTAAAACTGCTGGTTCAACGTAAATTTGGAAACAAAAAAATAGCACAACTGCTGCTTAATCATTTCAGGGTACGAGTAAAGACTGCTATTTAATTTAATTAAATGCATCTTCCATTCAACGAAACACTCTCTGTGTCTCCAAGTATCTTTTTCGAAAGGAAAACTAAATTAAACTGACAGGTATAATTTTAGCCGTATTTGTAGCGCTTAAGATTCACCGCATTCATCGAGGGGCATATTCTGCGGTGGTAGCAAAATGAAGCACTTTTAATTAATCACATGGAGCAGAATCAACATTCCAAAAGCCTTTCGGTAACCAGCGCTACCTAATTTATTAGAAATACTGTATACAAATGCAAATGCAGAAGGAAGAGTGCGTGCAGACTTTGCGTCTGAATAAATGTTTATTTGAACTAAGTCAGGGTTGAAGCGCGTTATAAACTGCTGAGAAATATCTCTAAAAATGTTTAGAAAATAATTCCTGTTGTCTTACAATTTCTAACTGAATCTTTATTCATAAGGCAATGTAGAGAAATATGCCATGTTCCGAAAGAGATAGAATTCTTAAGCCAAACAATTTGTAGTTCGTAAAATTTCAGTGATTAATAAGTTCTCAGTAATCATTTTGATTCCTTAAGGATAAACATGTTTTAATAATACGATTCGTTGATTAATTATCTTGTGGATTACTGAAGTGATAAATCGAGATATATCTAAGTGCGTCTTGTACACTGAGTTTCCGAATTCAGTAATTATATATTTTCATTAGTTACATGCATAATAAAATTATATGCAATGAGTAAATTTGTTTAAAGCAAATTATTTCATATGTGTATGAGTTAATTAAAGTAACTGCAATCAACATCTATTTATTTATTTTTAAAATTTCCTGTTAAACATTATCTGGGGAAGGACTTTTTCCGACATATTCACTGTTGAAATTTTCATTCTAAAATTATGGTAAAATAACTAGCAGCTGTCTGTCCATCCGATTAACCGTAAAGTTTACGGTAAGGAACATTTTTTCTCCTTATGGTTTTGAAACCATTTACAAAAGTATGGTTATAGCACCATGAATACCAAACTAAACGGTTTTTTAACCATTTAGTACTAGCATTTTTTAAAAACGTTAAAAAAATAACTATTATTATTTAACTAGACATAGGAGCTCGGTTTTCGCAAGGTAAGGGGCATAGGAGAGTGCCGGACACTGGAAATTCTTCACGTGTTGAAGGGAATATAGGAAATAGAGTGGTGTTATCACTAGGACTCGAACTNTTTCAGTGATTAATAAGTTCTCAGTAATCATTTTGATTCCTTAAGGATAAACATGTTTTAATAATACGATTCGTTGATTAATTATCTTGTGGATTACTGAAGTGATAAATCGAGATATATCTAAGTGCGTCTTGTACACTGAGTTTCCGAATTCAGTAATTATATATTTTCATTAGTTACATGCATAATAAAATTATATGTGATGAGTAAATTTGTTTAAATCAAATTATTTCATATGTGTAGGAGTTAATTAAAGTAACTGCAATCAACATCTATATATTTATTTCTTAAAATTTGCTGTTAAGCATTATCTAAGGAAGGGCTTTTTCCGACATAATGTTATCATGCAATAATAATAAAAAAATATTCAGAAAATTGAGCATTGTTCTATTCAAACTTACATAAAATAATTCCTCCCCATTTGTTAGAAAACAATGGTAGCCAAGAGCGAAAAAACAGCTCTGGATATGTTCTTGAAAAAAACGAACTACTTCCTACAAAGCGTACCTAATGCTTGAGAATGAAAAAAAACTTTTCAAGATTGTTGATTAGATTGATAATTATTTTAAATATACCAAGTAGATTTAAAACTCGTTCCTAGTTTAAGTAGCTTCTTATATTTTATACTGAACATTGTATTAATAACGCAATGCGTGTTCTTGAAAAGTTGCTTCAACCATTTAATTTGAGTTAAATGAAGTTTTTACTCTTAAAATTAAGTGATCGTGCAAAGCTACTAAACAGTTTATTAAGTCAACGAAATAAAAGACAGTGAACAAAACAATTTGAATGAAGCAACTGTCGAGATTGCATCCACAGAAAAAATGTGTTTCTTTATTTTGATTGTTGGTGACAACGATATAATAGCTGATAATAGCGCATATTTATTCAAGCCATGGAGAAATATGACATTCTTATTCAGCAACGAATAAATAGAACCTACTAATACCAACGAATAAATAGAATAATCGAAGATTTATTTATCTTCTTTTTACATTCTGCTCTTATGAACCATTTTTATGGGGGAACTGAGCAGATATTTATAGTAAAAAAAGGAACCATTAAAAATTACTTTTAAGATGTTTGATTTGTTAATTTTGATTAATTGTTTAAATCGATGACTCAGATCCTTATAAAGTTCATTACTTCGCATTTCTAGTAGCAAACAAGAAAGTTAAAAATAAAAATCTATCAAGATTTTTAATTTCGTGGGGAATCAATTAATCTTTCACTTTAAAATAAGCACTATCTAATCTCGAAACATTTTAAAAATGCCAACTGTTTTGGGTATCGTTAATATTCCTGGCGACTGCTTCCTCATTTAAAGAAAAAAATAGATCTCTTCTTTAAAACATTTTGTTTCTTAATGCTTTTATTATCTTCATAAATAATAAGCATACTACATTAATGAGGTCATGATGCAGTTATTTTTGCATTTTGAGTATTTCTTTTAAGTATTTCTGCCCTTATTGTTAATCGGCCATTCGTGACCGTTTTGTGTTTAATCGTTTCGAATATCTTTGATTCTTTCGAAGCATCCGTTTTTCTTTATCATGCATTGGGCTAACATCTCAAGTTCAACAACAATCTAACAACGCAAGTTTGAACACATCATCAGCTGTGTTCAAACTTCGAATCATTGCTAAATATGAATTTTTAATTATATGTACAAATATTGGAAAATCTACTTCAAAAACAAATACCTACTTCTAGTTCGGGCGTTAGCAGTTAAAAGAGAACATGATTGGAGCACACATCGAAGTAATATTCAAGGTATGAAAAAGTTACCAATATTCACCATGCTAGTTATTCTGTTGAATAATTTACTAAAAGTATGATTAAAACTACTTCAAGATCATAAAAAGCAGATATATTTACACTGTTATTTGCTCGAATTTATTTATTCATTGTAATTTTCTGTAGAAGAAATAATTTTCTGGAATAGGCTCGTGAGGTCTGGCATAGTCGAACTCCACAACATGTTGTTAATTTCCTTCTTAATATTGATGGTTCTGCACGTAAAAAGTCATATTTTAAAATGAAGTCTTTTTTTTGGATAGCAAAACCACTTTTTCCATGTTATTAGATAGGGAAAGGTTGTACAGGGGAGAAATATTCTAGCAATTTTGCCCTTTTGTTAAGCCGCTAGTGGGTTAAAACGCACTTGTTTTGGTTGTCCGAGTCAAGAGGAGAGTCCGATACTTAACGTAGTAGTCAGTGGTCCGATTTCACAAATTGGGAATATTCAGATTTGGATAGGAGAGCGTAATATATCCGATGCTCCTTTACGTGGGTTTCGAGTATGCATGTTATCGTAGCTTCGAAAGTTTAATCACAATTACAAAGTTTTTAGAACAAATTGTTGAATGTAAAATAATGCATTTATAAACAGCAAGTTCCATTAATGCAGAAAATAGAAAATTACTAAAATTTTGTATAATTGTTATTTACTTCATTAACAAACAAACTAAACAGACAAACAAACCGTTCCGGAAGTTCAATAGGACCGCAAACGTCTGATAACGTATCTAGAGGTAAGGTGAATAATCACAAGTAAAATAATGTTGAAGCATTTTTTACAGAAATAATAAAAAAAAGGTATAAATATATAAATAGTCAGCAATAAAATTTTATCTTTACAAATTAACGAAACTAAGGAATTTTAATTCCACGCTAATTTAATGAAAGACTTTTGTTTATCTTGTGATGAAACGAAGAAAAAAATGTGTATAAAACTTCCGATTCAAATGTCGTGTATATTTGATATGATTCATCATAAAAAAACAGATATTTTCATAACCCTAGTATATTTTAGGGCTGGAAAGATATTTCAAAATATACATAAAAAAAAGTTTTTAATTTTTATTTATTTTATGCAGAAAATGTGTTATTCCTACTGCTGTATTAAATTGTGAAAATATTGTTCCAGAAAATCTGAGCCATAAGTTCATAGATTTGTATTTCAAATTTTAGAATAATTGAATATAGAAATTCAGATAATCTCTAAATAAATGCATTAATGATGCACAACTGACAACTTAGGATATGATTGAAGGACGCTTACATTTTCAGCTTAA